CTACTTTTCTACTAGATAAAAATTTAAAGCCTTTCATAGAAATTTTAACAGTTTGCAATATGATATGTTACATGGTATTAAACAATTTGATCACCTTTTTAACTCAACTAAAGAAATCAATTCAAACTCATTAAATGGAACCAAATAATATTTTTTTTTATTTGAATTAAAGCAACGAGCATTTTTTCCAGGCTTTTTTTAAAACATTTTATCTCTTTTGCGTTAATGGTTTTTCTGCGTTCTCCATTGGATTGAAATCAACCGTAACTTTTTTTCACAGGGTTAGGATTTTCTATCGAGTTAAAAGCCATTTTCATAAGCTATTGGCTACATGCTTCATAGAGAATTAAAACCATGAACACCCTTTTAATTGGACGGGAAACGTGCTAAATTAACCTTTTTATCATAATTAGATATTGTATGTGAGGTCCCCTCTGTGATAACACAGGCATTTAATCATTATTTTAACTATTTAAAAGCATGTTGCTACTGAGACAATGTAAGAATGATGACATATTTTTTCACTTAAAGGGACACTGTAGTCTCTATAACCACTTTGTCTCTTTGAATTGGTTATAGTGCCTGGAGTGGCCTGGCACTGTCCCTCCATTCAGTGTTGCACCATGTTTGTGCAGTATGCCACAAAATAAGAGTCCATGGCCACCCACAGTCCAGCCCCTTCTGTATGTGTAGCTAAGGCAGAGATTACACACTTCCTTGTTGTCATACCCATTCATACCATCAGTTGGAGCTCTGACAGGTTAAAAGCAGTCAGCTGACACTCTCAGCCAATCACAGCTGCCCATTGCCTCTCAGGGTAATACTTCCTTATTAGCCAAAGCAGCACAGAGGGGATAGACTGCCGTGGACTCTTGTTTAGCATTAAAACATTACAACATTAAAAACTGTTTAATGCTGAAAGAAATTATGGTACCAGGGGACTCCAGACACTATAACCAGTTTAATGAGATGAAGCAGATACAGTGCCTACGGTGTCCCTTTAACCACTTGACTACCGAGTACTTAAAACATTTTTATAGCTGAAATGTTTTAGAAAGTAAGGTGTACTATCAGGCACAGGTTGTATAGGAACAGGGTGTATAAGAACCATAAGATATTAAGACAAAACAGCAACATCATGCATGGTTTACAGTCCAAGGCCACCAGAAGAAATTGAATTCTGTACATTGTGCATTAGACACATTGTGTAAATTTTAAAGGGATTATATGGTATCCTTTGTCAAAAAGGAGAGCTGAAGGACAGTTAAAAATTCTTGAAACACTATATTTGACATTGCAACAAAGTAAATGCTTCATTATCCATCTCATTATCATTTGTAAGTTACATTTGAGAATGGTGGATGAAGACTTAGAGGCCATTCACCAGACTTCTCACCACTTACTCTCTCTCCTGGTTTATGTTGAGGTACATTAAAAACCCCACACACAAATTACATAAGGTGGGGGTGAGAGAGCAGTCTAGCTCTTGAGGATAATTCTGAGGTCTCACTGACTCCATACTTGTTTAATTTGTAAATCTGCTAAGTTATTTTACCTTTCTAGCCCCTTGGAATGAGAAGTACATCTTGTGCTCGCCGCTGTGGTAATATTATTATAGAAATTAAACTGGGTCTCAAACAAGTAAATCATATTCTCTTTACACCATGGTATAAAAAGTATGCAACTACAGCAGACTGCAGGATACATATGTATTGCGCCCTCTAGTTAACCTAGACCCTGAACAGCTGTATGTATCTGAGACAGAAGAATGCAAGAATAGGGGGGGCGGAGCCAACCACCGAGCCGCATGGACGTGCACTAACTGTGCTACCTAACCAGAAAGCACAATCCACAGCCATCGGGCACTAAAAAAGCAAAATAGGACACCCAAAACGAGCTAATGCAGGGCACCAACTCTCCAACAAGACACACGCTGGAAAATCGGGTGTTTTGACAAGATATTTTAGAGACACCACGGAAACTCCAGGGGAGTCGGAAGGCCCAAATATGGCATCGGACTCACCATCCACCAATCTCCACCAACTAGCCCTTCGGGGTCTGAAATATCCACTTGTCAGCCAGAGGCAGACATTAGGAGCTTGCTCAGAGCCCTACCTTCAAAAACCGATATAGCCATGATGCTAAATAAACTGGAATCCACATTTCAGACAAAGCTTGAGGCAATAGGAGCCGACTTCCAGCAAACCAAACAGAGTCTCAGTCCTGGAAGACAACAGAGACACACTACAGGCCCAAATAGGTGAACTAAGAGAAGCGATGGAAGCCCAGACTAACCAATTTACCTTCCTACAAAGATCCCTGGACGACCTAGACAACAGGGGCAGATGAAATAACCTCAGAATCAAGGGCATCCCAGAGGCAGATAGTGAGCATTTACCCGATATCCTCAGAGAACTGTTCAACCTCATACTGGGCCGAGACACAGACACCCCAGTGATACTTGATAGAGCTCATAGGGCCCTGTGCCCGCACAATGGGGCCACTGAAAACCCACACGATGTGGTATATAGGCTCCATTATTTTGAATGCAAAAACAAGGTACTGGAGACATTCACAACAACCTCTTCTCTACTGAGGCTCCCCTGTTGCCATATACCCAGACCTGTCATGGATGACGCTGCAAGCCCACAGGCCGATGAGACCCATTACAGACCAACTATGTGCCAGAAATAAAGGAAAAGAGACAGCGCCAGACAACCAGTAAGGCAGCAACCCAACAAGGGAATCCCCCCAAAACCCTAAAATACAGGATAAAAGCAAAATATAAAAGGAGGGCTGCGCCAGAATAAACAGTGTCCAGTATCAATAGTTATTGAAGATAAAAGTCCGACCTAAAAAGGTATCCTCTCTGTCGTCTTTAGGTACAGGAACGCGATCTTCAGGTAATATATAAAAGATAAAAGGAGAGAACAAACGATGGTGCAGAATGTACGGTTCAAATGAAGTAAAAATTGATTAATGATAACGAACTCACAATTTCCAGAGCTTCTGTCCAGCTCTAGGGTAAAGCGCACACAGCGGTATAATCCCCGCTTATGGGATTTATGATGGGTTCGTCAGGGTATCCAAAACTCAAAGGAAACAGAAACAGCCAAATAGTGCTCTCTGTATAACTGTATATTATAAAAGAGAATAAAAAAAAAACGTACTTACAAGTACAGAGCAGACCAACTGCTCTTTGATGTCAGCGCTGGTGACTTGTGGGGCATGTAGTTGTGAATGCAGCAACCTATATAGGAAAAAAAAAAAAAAAAAAATAATGAAAAGGAAAAGAAATAAGGGAAACTATTTGGCTAAAATCTTTTTTGCTAAAATCTTGTAATAGCTGATTTCCTACTAAAAAGCCACTAGGAAATCAGCTATTACAAGATTTTAGCAAAAAAGATTTTAGCCAAATAGTTTCCCTTATTTCTTTTCCTTTTCATTATTTTTTTTTTTTTTTTTTTCCTATATAGGTTGCTGCATTCACAACTACATGCCCCACAAGTCATTGCGGTTCCACTTCCGGTTTTCGGAAGTGCCGCATATTTTACAACTTTCCCCTGCTCGTTTTTATGTAATTTTAACACCATGGGACTTGTTTCCCCACAAGTAACCCTATCCTTTGTTTTTTTTTTTTGTTTTTTTTCTCTTTTATTAGCTTCCGTTTTTAGATGGCCTTATGGGGAACTACAATACCCATAAGGCCGTGCGGCTATACTGCCGAAAACCGGAAGTGATGATTATCACATGACCAATTGTGTTTTTAATTTTATAATCCTTCTCATCTTCGTTTTTAATAAAAAACCACTGAATATGCCTTATTAACCTATTTACTATCTGAGAATAATTTAATACTGTTAATTTGAGATGTATAAAAGTATCTTTATTCTGATTGGCCGAAATTTTTTGGCGCCAATTTTAAATTGAACTATGTCTATATAAACACTATCTGCCAGGTTTTGTATTATATTCCATTTGATAAAGTCTGTTAGACGAAACGCGTTATGGAAATTTAATTTTGTATAATAAATATTAAAGTTTTTGGTTAACTGATAGTCCCAACTACTTTTATTTATACATGTACCCTGGCTATTTATCGTTTTAGTTCATTGTTATATTTTATATATACTCTATTCCGATTTTAATACTATCTCTACAAGTTCCTGACAACCAAAGAAATCCATAGGTGGGGATTATTCCACCAGCGCTGACATCAAAGAGCAGTTGGTCTGCTCTGTACTTGTAAGTACGTTTTTTTTATTCTCTTTTATAATATACAGTTATACAGAGAGCACTATTTGGCTGTTTCTGTTTCCTTTGAGTTTTGGATACCCTGACGAACCCATCATAAATCCCATAAGCGGGGATTATACCGCTGTGTGCGCTTTACCCTAGAGCTGGACAGAAGCTCTGGAAATTGTGAGTTCGTTATCATTAATCAATTTTTACTTCATTTGAACCGTACATTCTGCACCATCGTTTGTTCTCTCCTTTTATCTTTTATATATTACCTGAAGATCGCGTTCCTGTACCTAAAGACGACAGAGAGGATACCTTTTTAGGTCGGACTTTTTATCTTCAATAACTATTGATACTGGACACTGTTTATTCTGGCGCAGCCCTCCTTTTATATTTTGCTTTTATGTGCCAGAAATCTCCGATACCGCTGGGGCTTTCCCTTTGCTCTGACGGCCACATACCAAGGCGCCTCCTATACCATCGCACACACCCAAGATGTTCCAGCGTTCCTGAGAGTGATGGACCTGTCGGAGACCCACATACCAGATTGGTGTGGCCCTATCCTGCCCCCTAACGCGCCCCAGAGGCTGCCGCAACGCAATCGCAAGCCTCAGACCCCTAGAAAACGATGACCGGGTCCCCTGGAAGACACGGCATGAAACCCCAGCTTCCTACCACAGAAGAGATGCCAACTGCATTAACACCTCACCCTGTGGAAAACCGCGAGTGACTGATCCTGCCTTACTTACCGTTACAAGGGAACCTTCTCCTCTCCCTTCTGGCCGCTGACACTACCTGCACACCATACCACGAAGACGCATGCCAACGGCCGCTGTACATCATGCTGATTGCACTCGTTATGACTGACCGCATTGAAAGATATCTCCCTGTCACAATGACCAGCTTCGAACCAGATCTCCGGTCAAGCAAGTATCATGCACTTTGGGGTTGGGGATTGAAACACACCAAGACTGCCCTAGACTCTTACCTCGGTCTGTCCCACTCCACGTCCCAGGTCCCCATGCCTCCCTCTAACCGTCCACTCCACTGCAACCCAGAAAAAAAAAATTTTTTAAAAAAGTTCTACCTTGTGGACTCTACCCCTGGGCCTTACGACCCGAAAAGGCAACTAGAGCCTTCCAATCCCAATAGGACCCTACTACCCGCAGACCCGGAAGGGAGATGGAATATGGGCCGCCGGGCTTTACAAACTCTGACATCCGGAGTATGGTTCTACACAGTCAGTTGTGTTAGGAAATGTCATCTATTTTATTGTATTGACGCTCTAAACCCAACTGTGCTCCCCTACATAGGATATACCTACATAAAGGTCTCCACAAGACATTAATTTAACGAGACAGACTGTTCCTTCAAACCTCCTCTCTCTCCCCTCCCTCCACCCTATCCCCCCCCTCCCCTATCCGCCCGGAGAACGCGGACCATAACGACTACCAGTCTTAACCAACACTCCCCCCCAGCCGGGATGACCTCCACCCACATGAGCCCCCCCCATATATGTACCCCCCCACACCTACACAGAACCACTCATTCTGCCTGTGAGTGAGACTCCCCGGAACTCCCTAAATCTAACAATTGCTCATAGATATGCTCGGGGAATACTTGACCCTTGTAATACACAATTGGTTCCATACTGCAATGACACATATTGTCATGTACAAAACCCTATAACACTACCTGAGAAGGTACATCTAGTCTTTCCCCTACACTGCTACACTGTAAGCGATATACACATGGTTCAGGTGAATGCAAAGCTACGCCCTGCTAGCCCCTGTCCTACATCTCCTACTCCCAAACTAGCCTACAAAACGCTATGTACTAGGACATATAATCCACGTTAATCGCACTGATCGGGGATGACATCATTATACATAGTACTACTAGACAGCGTTGCGACATTCAGATATGTACCGGGATTCAGGGACACCCGCTCCTTACGTTATCCACAAGCTCCCCCGGGAATTAGTGAGTACATTCCTTAACGTGTGATTACCGTCTGATACCGTACTCACCACAGATCTGACTGCCACACTTACACTACCTTGTGGTGCTCTATACTGTTAAAAAACACTGTGATCCTCGCAATGCACATATACCTAGTTAATCCAGCCCTATACAACAATAAAATAAATAAACAGAAAATGCAAAAAAAAAATATATATATAAAAAAATAAAAATAAAAAAAATAAAATAAAATACTAACAAGGTCTAAGCCAATGCACACCCATTCCTCCTTGTACAGTAGCATCTGGGCCAAAACTTACTGAGACTATATGCAATGCTCCGTTTAACTGCAAAAATAGCAGACTCTAGAGAAGAATTAAGCGGACCTACCCTAGACAGAGAACTCCACCAGGACCCCACTCACCTGGCAGACTACAATCCCACCCCTATTCCCCCCCCACCCCCACCCCTCACCCTTCTGACGCGAAAGGCAACCACCCCCCCCTTGACCCACAAGAGAAGATAGAGGTATCAGCAGCTACTCTGATTCGACACTTCAATGTTTTTATGCATGTTTACTGTTTTGCGTGAAGATTGTCTTAAATAATTGTTATGATGTGATTCTATATGTTACACTCACAGATGCTCACGGCCAACCACGGGCCATACTTTAAATAGTCCCCCTACACAACTACTGCCCATCCTCTAACAACTCTACACTAAACCTATCTGGATTGGCTTTCTGGAAGCCACATTTCCTCGTAACACACTATCTATCCCCACACCTGGGGAGCTACAATCCGCACTGCACAACCTACATATTACGCGCCACAGAGGCACACTCATTGATTCAACCTTACGGTCCAGGTGACCTATCCCAGGTGCACACCAGTTACCCGGGTGGCCTAAAACTCCCACCCAGGGTAAACCACCTAAGGATACCCCCAAATAACCCACACCAACTGCTGCTGACAACAGAAACACTAGGCAGCAAATCCCTCTGTTCGTTCTTCGTTCTATACTTTTCTTCTCCCTACCCCGCCCCATCCTGCACCCAGCTCCACCCCTCCTCACCCTCCCCCCATGGGTGGGGAAGACCGAGAGGAGCCTTACCCTCATCCGCTCCCCCCCCCACAGATGACCACGATAAAGATTGTCACTCTCAATGTTAGGGGTCTCAACACACCCGAAAAAAGATCCCTGACGCTAAAGGAAATACACAAATTAAAAGCAGATGTTGCCTTCCTCCAAGAAACACACTTTAAACACCCGGCAGCACCGACACTAAGGAATAGACACTACCCAACCGGCTATTTTAGCAACTTCACCAAAACCAAAACCAGAGGGGTAGCAATACTTATCTCATCACATTTGCCCTTCCTATACTCTTCTCACAAGACTGACGACTCAGGCAGATTGCTGTTAGTCAAAGGACAGATCGGCCAAACCGTAGTCACCTTCGCAAACACATATCTCCCCAACAGGCGTCAATGTAAGACACTTAGAAAACACCTCAAAATCATCGAACAATTTGCGAAGGGCATCCTATTGTTTGGAGGAGACTTCAACTTATCACTAGATTCACTCCTAGATACAACCTCCCAAGCAACAAGATATCAGAAATCAGCACGCCAGCAAATGACAAAATTACTGGATCAAGCCCAACTGTATGACGGCTGGCGCATTACTCACCCAACTGATAAAGACTATTTATATTATTCACACGTATCACACGTATATTCCAGACTGGACATGATCTTTGTCCCACATAGATTCCTACACCTTATCCAATCCACCAGCTACGGCTCAATAACGTGGTCAGACCACGCACCCTTATCCCTAGACATACAAATCCCCACCTTACCGCACAAATCATTCCAATGGAAACTGAGTGATCTTCTCCTGAATAATGCAGAGGTAGTTTCCCACATAACAGAATCCCTCCATACCTACTTTACTACAAACACAACTCCCGATAGCCCCCCCGATTACGTGGGAGGCACACAAATGTGTAATGAGGGGAGAGCTGATCGTGCTGGCGTCCAGACAAAAGAAATTAAGGGAAGCTGACCTCCAAACCCTTAAAGGAGAAATTAGAGCCCTTGAAAATAAGCACAAACAGGACACGAGACTGAGCACCTACACAGAACTGATAGCCAAGAGATTAGCACTACAAGATATCTTAAACAACAATATCAAACACACTATCCTACGCACAAAACACTCATATTACTCTAAAGGAGGCAAATGCGGCCGACTACTGGCTAACGCACTGAAACAACAAAGGCAATCGTCCTTTATATCTAAAATCAAGACTACCTCAGGTTCACTATCATACAAACTCCCGGACATCATGACCTCCTTTCATGACTTCTACACCAAACTGTACAATCTCAGGAACTCTCCCCCCTCAGAACAAGACATAGAAAGCTTCCTAGCGACCAGGATCCACCAAACAATACCCATGAACATAGGGACCACCTTGGACGCCCCGATTTCCTCTGAAGAAGTCCACTTTGCCATAAAACAACTTAAGATAGGGAAAAGCCCAGGCCCAGACGGGTTCTCCGCCAAATATTACAAAACTTTCATGTTGGCACTGACGGAACCATTCTTGCTAGCCTTTAACTCCATTACACAAACTGATTCTCTCCCCAAGGCATCCCTTGAAGCCCACATAACCATTATTCCCAAACCAGGGAAAGACTTGACCAACTGTGGCAGTTACTGCCCGATATCCCTGATCAATCTCGATCTACGCCCCATATTGCAAACTCTAATTCACCCCGACCAAGCCGGATTCGTGCCAAATAGAGAAGCTAAGCACAACACCACAAAACTCCTAAACCTAATTCACATTGCAAAACATAGACCGATCGCTAACCTCATACTATCCATTGACGCAGAAAAAGCGTTCGATCGCGTAGATTGGACTCTACTACTTTCCACACTAAGAGCACTGGGCCTTGGTCCTTGTTGGATACGCTGGATCCAAGCTCTATACTCCTCTCCTACTGCTCGACTCCGAATTAATGGCCAACTGTCAGATCCAGTCTATATAAGGAACGGGACGAGACAAGGCTGCCCGCTGTCCCCACTCCTCTTTAAACTTATCCTAGAGCCCTTTCTAAATGGGATCAGAGACAACCCAAACATACAGGGCATATCAGTCCAACAATAGGAATACAAGGTCTCTGCCTTCGCTGATGACCTTCTCTTTACCATCCAAGCGCCCGACTCATCAATACCTCCCTTGATGGAAGAATTTTCCATTTACAATGCAATCTCGAATTTTCAGGTTAACTTCTCTAAAAGTGAAATATTACCATTGACAATGACCCTTCAGATGCGTACACGCCTCAAATCCAAATTCCCCTTCACATGGGCGGACAAGTCCATTCTATACCTTGGTGTCCACCTCTCAGCCAACTTGACATCCATCTACAATCTGAACTATGAGCCATTATACCAATCTATCTCCAAAGACCTACGGGCATGGCAAAAGCCACACTTCTCCTGGCTCTGTAAAATAAACATCCTCAAAATGAACACACTATCAAAAATTCTGTACCTATTTCAAACCCTACCTATAGCCATACCCAAAGCATTCTTTGCCAAGCTGCGGAGTCTCTTTACCTCATTCATCTGGGCACACAAGCAACCCAGGCTCTCATACGAAGTGCTTCCCAGACACAAGTCCTGTGGAGGCCTGGGGCTACCCCACATGGAAAAATACTACAAGGCTACAATGCTAACAAGAGTATATGAATGGTCCCAACACCCTCCAAACCTCCAATGGACAAAAATAGAAGCCACTATATTCAAACTCCCCATCCATACGATCCCATGGCAAAAGGCTCACCCCAAGCAGCTGCTCCTCGACCATGACACACACCCCACGATACCCCCCACACTCAAGACATGGGATAGACTGCGTGAAATCATCAACGTATCCCCACACCCATCCCCACTATACCCAATCACCCATAACCCACACTTCCAACCAGGACTGATTGCCGCAAACTACCGAAGCTTCCGAGATACCTATGACCAGATATCCCTTACTCTGGGATCCACTCTAGTTGGTGACTCACTTCGTCCGATATCAGACCTCATACACTCGACTGCTCCATCTACAATGCAAACATTTCACTACACACAACTGCATCACTTCCTAAAGACAGACACACGACTCCTCAGGGGAACCAGACCCCTCTCCAATTTCGAAAAACATTGCAAAACTCGGAGCATTAAAACTAAGCAACTCTCGACTTTCTACAAAATGATCCAGACAGAACACGCGGCCCACCCACCTAAGTTCACCGCCTCATGGACCGAGGCCCTTAACACACAATTCACGACAGCACAATGGACATCAATATTTAACCAAATACATAAAACATCTATCTGCACCGCTATCCAGGAAAGCGGTTATAAGCGAATCTCCAGATGGCACTACTCCCCAGCTAAATTACATGCTTTATTCCCCAACACCCCAGATGTTTGCTGGAAATGTGCCTAACCAGGTGCGTCCTTGGCCCACATCTGGTGGCATTGCCCTCAAACCCAAAGATACTGGACAAACATAGGAACAATGATTAAGACGGTAACAGGAATAAAACTTCCCCATACCCCACACACTCTGCTATTCCTGTTGCTACCCTGCACCCTCACCAACACGCAAAAACGACTTGTAACCCATCTCCTTACAGCAGCCAACACCCTCATTCCGGCAAAATGGAAAAATCCCAATACCCCAACAATCAGAGAATGGATCCACAAAGTGGACGCGCTCAAAATAATGGAAAACATACAGGCCTCTGTTACACACAAACTGTCCCTTTTCAAAGAGGTATAGGAACCATGGACAAGATTCTTGTTAAAACCTCACACTGCCCCCGACACCTCAACCTAGAACCCCTCCTCCAACCACCAGGCCACAAGACAGTTAAAAGGCTAAATGCCTAACCACCTCCTGTGATCTCCATTGGATCACTGGATCTCCTCTCGGGCTTCCCCCCCCATTCCCTCTTTTTGCGACAACCTTCTTTGCGATATAACTTACAGACTCTTAACTCACAGATAGACTCAGGTAGCTACTAGCTGCATAACACACAGAGCCGATACCTCTCGCCCACTACTAATCGATCCCTGACTCGAGAGGCCTACAGCCAGCCCATAAGCTAGATACCCCCACTGCAGTATCTACTAGACCCCTACTGGCCAGCTCGAGCGAATTGCCATCACCAAACCAGGAACCTACCCACGAACTACCCAAATTGCCAACCTTGAACCTACCCATACCATCCTTAAACAGCAGGCAACCTCTGACAACAAAGTTAACCCAAGGTAATATGAGACACTCCAAACTCCCCGAGCTCACTTAACTCAGTTCGGAAAGGAGGTGAAACCTATACAGACGCCATACTAATAGGGCTACTACACAAATCCACCACTATACTGGAGAATACAATGCCCGTGGTTCATGATATACTAGATGGTATGTTAACCAACACAATGTTGCAAAGTGACGCCAACACTAGTTACCCGGGCATCGCTTACCGACTCGGCCATACCCCTCAGGTCATCACTACATTTACTTTTACGAACAATACACATCCTCCTTTGGCAGTAGCTGTTGTATAATAGTGTATAATATGTTGTGACCCCTGTGTGGGTCCCCTTCAATGCTGGACTTGGACTATTTGTGAGAATTGCGAATCAACTTCTTGTAATACTATGTATTTCTGTGATTTCCTTTTATATAAACAATAAAAGTCTTTTAAAAAAAATAATAAAGACATATGTGCTAAAACCATTAAAAAGAAACCCAAAATGCTAGAAGACATGGAAAAAGAAAGTCATACACATAATTGTGAGATGGAGAACACAATTAAATGGCCCATACAAAGTGACATTAAAAATGCAACTTTGGTTTTGCAAGAGGACAAGAGAAAAAACATTATTTTACCTAATGCTGTAAGTAATGAGAAAGCTACACTTGTTCAGGAAAGTCTGGTGGGTTTACCATTAAACAAGACTCACAAGCAATTTGGAATGGGTTATTTGACAACTGAGCAAGACTTGTTTATGCTCGACATGGTTAGTGAATCTGTACTTGAAACAAAGATTGAAAGTCCAAGTTTCTTACGTGTCTCCTCTGTTACAAATGGTGAAAACTCATTATTTATAAAGGAGGGGTCCTTAGACCATATTGCTCTTGTAGAACTTCCTGGGACAGAGGATGTGTCCCACCAGCCAGTGAATTTTGGTCCCCTTGATGAAACCAACTGTAATAAACCACAAGCCTATGAAGGAATGGATGAGCTACAGTGTGAAGACTTTAACCAAAGTCTGAGCAACCAAGGAACAGTAACAAAACCTTTAAAAGATTTGACAAACACCAACTTTGGTTACATCAAACAATCCCAAAAGGCTTGCTCAGAAGAGGAAGACCAGTCAAATGGCTTTTCTAGAAGGTGACGTAATCCAGTCCACTACAAAGAGCCAAACTTGTTGAGAAAGATGAGGCGCGAAGAGGAATCCATATTTGCAGATCTCCAGAATTATCCACAGTGCAAAGGAAAACAGCAAAAAACTGTAAAGAGAAAGGTTTCTAGACAGAAAAGTTCCTGAGCGAAGAGTAGATTTAAGCTTCTACCTTTATTTCTTTTTTTTTTTAAATCTTACTACACGTTTTCTTCACAGATGTTTGTCATGTGAGGGGTATTGCTGATATTCAAATGAGGGTAGTGTTCAGTATGGTGAGGTTTATATAGGAAGCATGGCGGACTTGCATGAGTTTGCAAGGTTAGGGTTACTTATATGGACCGCACAAAGCCTTCTTTTTATTTAAATTTTTCAGATGGCTACCTCGAAGTCAACTCCTTTTTCAAGTTAGAAAGGCTTTGTTATCTTTATCTTTTGGCCACGTTATAAGGACCTGTAAGTGAAATTACGTGAAGGTGGTTACACTGTTATCGCTCCACCATTACATTGTATCCACAAGTCTGTACGTGTCCATTGTTTATAACGTTTCTCCTAGGTGGTTACACTGTTATTGCTCCACCATTGGAATATATCTACAAGTCTGTACGTGTCAATTGTTTATAACGTTTCTCCTAGGTGGTTACATTGTTATCGCTCCACCATTGGAATATATCTACAAGTCTATAGAAACAAGAAATTCTGCAGCTGCTAGAGGAAAGCGACAGATTTGTCAGAGGGAGTGAAAATAATAATGAAGTAGAAATGCTCTAACTGGAAAGATAGGATTCCACCAAGTCCTAAAGGAGTTAAAATAGATAAACTAAGAACACCCTAGAGTGCAAATCTCCAGGAGCAAAGATTCGATATATTCAATAACAATATGGAATAAAAATAATAAAATATTGGTTAAATCTTAAAACGTAATCTTCTATTACTATTCAGAGGTTGAATATGCATTTACATATGTTTGTACCGTAATATAATTTCAAATAAGCGTTATATTGATAAAAAGTTGCCAAATAATAGTCCTTTTTAAATTGCAAGAAAGTTGCTGTCCGAAATCTGTTGTTTCATAAGTAACTATGACTCGGCATGTATAGGCATTGCCGTGTAACTAAAGTACTTATGAGTTCAGTCTACTTAAAATTTATAAGATGAAACGTAGTCCAGAAAAGCAATGGAAACAATGGAAACTTAGTATAGAATAAACTAAGTTTTCAAAAATAATAATAACCTTATAATCGATTTGAAACCAGATTGATGAATAAAAATTGTAATTTATTAAAGATTAAAAATTCAATAACGAATAAAAATAACGGTGAAATACTGAGGTAGGAGTGAAGTCTAACAAGTCTCAAGTGCAGAAAAGTATAGAACCTGTGTTCCAGACCCGGATGGATTCGGATTGTAAATTGAAGGAAAGACCCTTCTCTTCTCCCTCCTTGCAGCCGGTGAGGATGGCGTGTGAGTTCCTGTATCTTCCGCCTCCGACCTCACACCGAGAGGTGGAGCTGGATCCCACGGGGGAGGTGTCAATAGAGTTGGATACCGGGTCCGGGGTAAAGTAATCCACAGTGATAAATTTGAAAAGACCTAACTTACTCCTCCCAGATTCAACCGTCAATTGCCTTGCTTTGCCTTACGCGTTTCGTAGGGTTCGCCCTACTTCATCAGAGGCTGGTGGTCTCTCTTATCGGCCAGAGTTTATATCTTGTGAGACAAAGAATATCAATAAATATCAATCAACTGGTTATTAAACTAATAGGTTTGTACAGATTATATGAACTTGTACAGACTTTGAAAAATAATTGTGTTAATTAAATACCTAAAAATGTGAAAGAAGTGAAAGCGAAGATGAACAAAAAGTAAATAAAAAAGGGGAAATTAATTCTCATTTGATGTTGATAACATAATAATTAATGATCCTTTCTATTAAAATAAGTGACAAATTAATGATGTCATCATTAATCCAGACTATTAAATAATATTATGGGAGCTATTTTATATGGTATTGAGTCCCCACCTTAGTGTGAGATAAGATTAAATAAAAATGTGATAGCTGCCCAGTGAAGATATAGTTGTGTTGGTTGTACCTATAGATATAAATATAAGGGTGTGACCAAAGGATAGTGAAAAATAGTTGTGAGTACAAGGTGCCTTATTAGCAACTAGTAGGGTCTTGTAAGTGATTATCATATCAGTGTTGTATTAGAAAGAAATATTACTAATAGTAGATACTAAAAACGAAAACAGGAAGGAGAAACAGAAACTATTCTGATCTTACAAATGAAAAACATACTTATATATTCAATACATTAGTACATTAGATGGTAGCATACAGTTATACAATGGCAGTTAAATATTCATGCATAGAATGTATGTAACGACAACATTAAATGTTTTATGGCAATCAATTTGCGAATATTTGCAGGTCTAGACAAACGATAAATAATATATTGTGATGTAAATAGTATATCAGAAATCAGAAATTAAAATTGAAAATCATCATAACAATAGCAAAAATATTAGCGGCTACTAAGTCTGAGGAACATAATTAATACAATTGTATAAAAATGTTGACTGTACATAGAAAACAGTTAGGACTATATGCTAAAAGAGTATAATAAAAGTATCTAAAGTAAAAAACTAGAATAAAAATAAAATAAAATATCTAAACAAATAAATTGCTTTACTAAATTAGAATAGAGGGTTAGTTCAAATCTGGATTGATAGGAAATGGGGATAAAAAGTGAGGATGAAAAGTTATAAGTTAGGCAGAATAAAAAATAGAGAGGGGAGTGGACTATCTTAAAAAGGCGTTAAGCTCAAAATCCACATTAAGGCCTTCAGGTACCAGAGTATTGAGGGAAAAGATCCACTTTGCTTCTGCTTGATCCAGATTATTTTCCAGATCCCCTCCTCTCCAGTGTATATCGACTTTTGCTATTGCTAAAAATTCTAGACCTGTCGGGTCACTCCCATGTACTTCCTTGAAGTGTCTTGATAAATTATGTGACAAAAATTCTCTTCTAATATTCCTAATATGTTCAGCAATTCTTGTTTTGAGCTGTCTTTTTGTTCTCCCCACATAATATTTCGGACAGGGACATTTAATAAGATAAATGAATCCCGCAGTATTGCAGGTCATATGTGACCTCAATTTGTATTTCTTAGAGTCTTTCAAACCTGTGAATGACGTACTTGTGGCTGTCTGAGCTGGGTTATTTCTACATCCTGGGCATTTCTTACATCTCTGAAACATATTCATATTGTCACTTTCTTCTATAGAATTAGTAGTTTTTAGAGTAGGAGCCAACAGTAATTTCTGGAAAGATAGGATTCCACCAAGTCCTAAAGGGATCACTCCAACTATAATTCTTATTATAGGGAGTCCCAAAGAGACTTTAATAAGAGCATTTAGAGATAATTTAAAGAGAATTTAGAGATACCAATTCTGAATGCTACAACAATCCTCAATGGAACTATCGCCTTCCACTTACTCCAACTTGGAGACATACAAGGACATCAGATAACCTTGACAACCAACAGGAACATAATAATCCACCAACTTCTCCTTCTATGAGGGAAGATTTATCTGTAAGAAGAAGACACATCCACTAAGAGATCTCCAAAACAAGCCCAGTATAAGACACATGAGAATGATTTTTTAGAAAAAAGGGGGAGATTACCCCCAAGAAATTTACTATGGAGGACTTCAGGTCCCCAACCACACGGAAAAGGTCATTAAATGACATCGAAGAAGAAGCAGAAAATCAAGAAGCTGTGTCTCAACTAAAGAGGAGGAGATAAATATCTTCAATCTATCAAGTAGGACTTTGAACCCTGAAGAAATTTCTCTCTTAAGAAAAGGGCTTAAATTTGCTCCCACGTCAAAGAACTCCAAATGTAATATGTTTATAGATCTGCATAAGTTTATTAGGAAGATCTCCATTAAGAAATTCTTCAGTGATAAGGACTCCTTTCCCCCTAATATAGAATCCAATTATGTACAGACTGATCTGCACCCCGCTTCTACATTCTATCCACAATATGTAAAAAGTGGCTCGATTAAAGTCTTTGAAAAGATGGTAGAGAAAGACCTCAGGACACAAATCAAGGATACTATGAGCAAAGATAATCTCACTAAAAAAGAAAGGAATTCCTTGAAGGCTTTAATGAAATCAGAAGATATCACCATTAAACAAGCCGATAAAGGTGGAGGAGTAGTAATCTTGGATACACAACATTACGTTGGAGAAAACCTAAGATTATTAGGAGACCTCTCCACCTATGAAAAACTAGATAATGATCCTACAAAGACATTTATGGAAGAATTACAAGAAATTCTCGACTATGGGAAGAATCGAGGTATCATTAACAAAAGGGAATACAGATACATATCTGTCAAATATCCAAAGGTACCTATTTTCTATCATCTCCCAAAAATACATAAAAGGCTCGAGAAACCCCCTGGGAGACCCATTATATCAGGGGTCGGATCTCTGACAGCCAATCTCTCAGAGTATGTCGACCAATTCCTGCAAACCCTAGTGGCGCGTCTTAAATCCTACCTCAGAGACACACAGATTTTGAACTTATTATTGGACCTAACTTGGGAAGATGATATGATTTTGGTCACTGCAGATGTCACTTCCCTGTATACGGTTATTGAACATCTCCCGGGAATTGAAGCAATCCAATATTCTCTGGCGGCCTTTTCGGAATTGAAGAATGATCAAATTGATTTTATAGTACAGTGTATAGCTTTTATTTTGGGACACAATTATTTTTGGACAGATGGACATTTTTATCTCCAATTAGAAGGTACTGCCATGTGAACACGTTTTGCGCCAAGCCATGCAAATCTTTTTATGGGCAAATGGGAAGATGAGTTTATTTGGGACCATTGCCCCTTTGGCGCAAAACTGTTCCTATGGCGTAGGTATATAGACGATTGTTTTTTATTTGGAAAGGTGACTTGAAGTCATTGGAAGATTTTAAAGTTTATCTTAATTGTAACCTTTACAATTTGAATTTTACCTTTACTCATTCCACCAAACAGATAGAATTCCTTGATCTCTGTATTTATATTGAAGACAATAAACTTCACACCAAAACTTTCAAAAAAAGTGTGGACTGCAATAGCTTTATCCCGTATCACAGTCACCACAAACCAACATGGCTGAAGAGTATTCCACACAGCCAATTCAGAAGAGTAAGACGGAACTGTTCCCAATCCGAGATATGCATAAAACAAATGGAAGAAAGGAAATTAAGGTTTCTATCAAAAGGCTACCCCTCTCCACTATTAGAAGATTCAATGGATAAAGTATTGGCTATACCAAGAAAAGACACCCTACATAAGAAGAAACAATTACCACTATTTGAAAATCAGACCCCTGCTTTCATTTCCAAATATAGTAGCCAATCAAATGTACTGCAGAGTATTCTCAAACAACATTGGGGTATCCTCAAGAGTGACCCCATACTCTCAAACTTTTTAAGTGAGCAACCAAAGGTCATTTTTACCAAAGCTCCTAATCTGAAATTACTGTTGGCTCTTACTCTAAAAACTACTAATTCTATAGAAGAAAGTGACAATATTAATATGTTTCAGAGATGTAAGAAATGCCCAGGATGTAGAAATAACCCAGCCCAGACAGCCACAAGTATGTCATTCACAGGTTTGAAAGACTCTAAGAAATACAAATTGAGGTCACATATGACCTGCAATACTGCGGGATTCATTTATCTTATTAAAATGTCCCTGTCCGAAATATTATGTGGGGAGAACAAAAAGACAACTCAAAACAAGGATTGCTGAACATATTAGGAATATTAGAAGATAATTTTTGACACAATTTATCAAGACACTTCAAGGAAGTA